TAGCCTTAAATGACGGAGAAAGCTTTCATCTAGAAAATCAATTTGGCCTGTAACATAAAAATGATGTAAATGCTGTGCTGCTTAAATTAAGTACTTTAGGAGCAGAGACAAACAACATTTTGGATATTTAATTCGACCTGTCTACTATCTATATATATATATATATATATATATATGTGATACAAAGCTACTCAAAACTATTTGAAACGTTTCTAAAATAAGACTCAGTATGATGAGTAATAGTTTCTATCTAGAATAGAAAAAGAGATCAAGCAGTTATTTCTGTTTAGAAGTTAAATCCTCAAGGCATTCGACTACTTCCATTCGCCTGAGGTAGCCCGAATTTGCTGGCGCGTGCGTCCACAGTCTCGAAATAATGGAACCTACAAATTAAAACAAATAAACGATTTCCGTTAATGTACGCCTACCCGAACAGTCAAGCCCTACCTAGGCCGTAGAGTCCCGATTCATCGGGTATTTCAATATTGCATCATTGTGTTACCCTTCGCCTTGCAGAAGAACTGCTATTACGGCAGTTAAATGTTTCAAGGTGAGAAATGTATATGCTCTAATTGTTTTTAAAAAGGTCAAACCTTTCGTGTCCTATCACATCATGTAGGTGATTCACATATATACATGGGCGAAATCCATAAGTTCTTAGCAATGTATCGTTTGTCCTGGTTTGTCCACACAGAATTCCCAACAAGGCAAGGCAAGTCCTGTGAACTTTACCATAGAATCGAAGTTAGCCTTACCGCTCTAAAGCAGTCGACTGAGTCAGCGGAACCGGCTGAAAATATCGACTCAATATGCGTTGATCTCGATTTACTGACCTTTCAAACTCTCGATGTAGATTGCAAGCATCAGCGTAGCCTCAGCGCAGAACGGTTGTTCTTTCACGTAAGGTTTGTAAGGCATCGGACCTATAATAAACAGGGTCTTATTGAACTACTTAAGGTGATGTGACACGGTCCAATGAATATACACTTTTTGGGATTAACAAATATCCTTGTAAAAACTAAAGAAAAACATGCATTTTCTATTAGACGAAATGATCGAACTTAATTATATTTTGATGATGGAAAAAAATTTACAATGAGTTTGCCGACGACTCAACGGAAAGTCTACGTAATATTTTCATCCGAATATCATCCCTGGATATCGTTTGGACACGCGAATCAAACTGACACGCAACGTTGGACGGCGATTCATTTGTATCCTGGTCATTTACCACTTTGTCCTGCCGAATTCTGTTTAAAAACTAACTGAATCACTTGGTAGTTTTGCTAAGTAACTTGAAATATGTCGACTACAACCTTTTCTCCTAACTTAACCCTAAAAGCCTTAAAAAACACACCATTTGTGTTTAATCATATTGTCACATCTAACTATCTGTGATATGAATGAAATAAACAAGCGTCGTATGGGTTACGTGAACATTATTTCCCTTTAATATTCATTGTAGTGTATCTTATTTATATGTAACATATGTAATGTTAAGGCCCAATGTAAAAACGATAGTACTCGCACATCTAAAGTCGATACATTTTTACATCTTTCAAATAATTTTCCGACTGCTATCACGGACGAAGCTTGAGAACCGGACCGTATCCAGTATTCATTTGAAACTGGGCGTTATGTGTTTTATGTGGGTGAACTCTAGGGCCCCGTAATTTGAACAAACCCGGCATGAGTCAACGCAGCAGACAAAACTCTAAAACATGAACGCGCTTTTCGTTCTCCTTCTAGCTTCTGAGAAAAATCCACTCTGTAATTCGACCAACGAAATTTAACTTACTTGATTGTGGTGCTGCTTTTTCCTTGTGAACGTACGCTGCTAAGAACAACTTTCCTTTTCTTAAAGTTGTCAACGATGACATCTGACCTCAGGAAAAAAATTCGAGTGGTTCCAACGCTGACTATGTTAACGTATCATCAACAGAGAAAACCAAAGTACACTTCAGACCCAGTGTCGTTCATGGGTTTGATTTCAGTTCGATATTTGGTTCCACGGAAAATGCTATTCTACATATCCCACAAAAGATTCACTGAACATAATACCATAACAATATATATATATATATATATATATATATACATATATATTCAGTTACCATTTTGTGGCCATCGAAAAATTGGCTGTAAATTAAAGCAGCCGTTCTTTTATCACATAAAACTAAAACACTAATTTCATTACCTATATCAAACTCTGTAAATATGCCATGGCCGCATTTTACAACAATAAAATAAAAACATTCAGATATTCGTGAGGAAAAGGTAGAGTCTTGTGCGACGCACACCCCAACTCCCCCAACAGGTGATTCCTTATGACTCATGAGCTAAAGAGGGAAATGTCCCATCCAGGCATAAACAATTAATTTTCATGGAAGAAGAAAACACCTCGAACTTCGCTGGAGGACAGGCGCTGATTCCTCACTATCTTCGAGAAGTAAAGCCTCACAACGGCAATATTCTAGATAATTTTACAGCGAAAACATTCGGCTGTCTTCTCTGGGGTGAATTTAATGGAATTGTGTCTATGACAAGCAAAGGCAGAAATTCGGTAAGTGTTCATTTCTATCTTCCTCTAATCTGTATAGCACAGAGCTCATGACTCATTTTCAAATACTGGAGTATCTCCTCACGAAAAGTCAGCTATGTATATATAGCTCACTTTTTTAGCGCTGACTAAAAATTAAATTTAGTTTGAAATACTAACGATATAATAATACATCAATATAAAACGAAATATATAAGAGATTTGGATCAAATGTTACCTTTTACATGACATTGGAGTGACAGAGCGTGCTTGCTTACTCGGGTCCGTTTCCGTCGTTTCTACCGAAATCTCTAGCTGTGAAGTCAATAAACTGAATAATCTGCATAAACTCTAGAAGATAATGAGCTTTGAAAACGTATGCGTGCGAGTATAAACATTTTCGAAAATGTTTTATCAGCAGAACCGTTCCATGTAAATTTCCCGCGTATTTTCTTGTTTTTCAAAATCAAAGCACGTTTGTCGTACAGAGCGGGCCCGTCAAAGTGAAGCTCAACGGTGAGTACCCGTCTCTAATAACACGCTGCTTTTTGACATTAAGTGGTTGTTTGTAAAAAACAAAGAACTATGGCAATCGTCTGTGTTACTCTGAAAAAAAACGACTGATTTCATCATAAAAAGGAGGCAAGTGCACTTATTTCACCCGCTATCTTTATCAGTTTTAAAGTGTAATTCGCTGATAATCGATGTTTTAATATAAGATGAACCGTACGCAATGATTGTAAAAGTAGCTTAGTGGGTAACGTATCTGTCACCTAATCTTAACGACCCATTGTGGTTTAGGTTCGAATCTGGCCATATGCACGAGACTGCCAGGCCAGCTGTGGCTAAAAGCTATGCAGGACGTAAAACTCGAGAACTAAAGATTATTCAAGAAGTAATTAAACATTGTAATTGCAATTAAATTCAGATTGCATTGATAAATAAAGGGTCTTGAATGGTTTTCGGAAAGGTTGCACAAATCTTCACTGAAATAGCATGTAGGATATTATGTCTTAAACGACATTATTTTAATTGAACGTGCACATTTTAAATTAAAAAATAACTGACTCCAAATGTATAGTGTATACAAATTATATGCATAGAAAACATTATTCATCAAGATTAGATCTATTATTAGTATTATACTAAGGCAAACTGAGTATTTCCATCGCACTGTGTTTAAAAGCGGCCCCACATAGGATACCGATCTAGTTAACACCGCGGCAAAATTACGGTCCAAAAGTCTGCTTTCAGTGACCACGCGAATGAGCAAGATTCGATCTTTCGAGGTCCCCATTATTGATTGTATTTTTGTAGTCTTACTTTTAGAAGGTTCCACTATTTTTCGTTTCCACACATTCGTCTAGAAGCTTATTCAGCCATAAACCAACACGACGCAACAATCTGCGTTTAACGATTAATTGTCAGCCGTTCTTCGTTTTAATAGGTAGCCATTTTATTACTGCCTTTAGGATTGCTGACCTTCAGACACCTTGACCATAAAGCGAGCCAAGCCACCTGACCGTCTCACTCTACGTTTTTTTTTTCGGTAATCATCCATCGCTGTACCATTAATAATGACTGTACATACTTCGTGACTTTACTAACGCTATACCTTTTTACAGGGTACAGAGAGAAAGAAAAAATAAGGCGATAAAGAAAAGACGCTATTAAGATTATAGTGTGGCGGTGGGTGGTGTGATCGGCCGAACTGTTGCCGGATTCCCTTAGCCCCACACCATTTCGTAGTGTATAGAAAGGCTATGAATGCAGGCATAGTAATAACAATGCCAACAATAGTTAAAAGATGTTTCCTACCTCTTTTACGCCAAAGAACACCGGACGGGAACTTATTGTTGGGACGAGACTTCAGCAGCCCCGGCTTCATTTGCTATTTTGTTTGGTGGGATAGCCTCTGACAGTTGGCATCCCATAGCGAGACTACTGCTACTAGTATTACCGTTGGTGGGAGGTCGACAGAGAAGAAAAGGGGCTGCGTAGAGGCAAGACGCAAATCGAAGTATTTCTGGAACATTGAGCTAACTGAATGACCTTTTGCTCACGCCTTCGTTAACGTTATTTCTCTGTACGTAGATTAGAAGACAGCGGACATGTGTCCGAAACCCATAAGCGAGATAGATAGCGGGAGACATCTGCTTTCGATCTGCAGGTAGTTGCGTGGATCGCGCAACGTAATGCGTGACAAGAGGAGGCGACAGGTTCTAGATCTGGCCGTTGAAGACGGTTCCTCGGTTCCAGTTCTATGGCCCCATTTCTTCGGCAAAAACATTGAGCCTATCGAATTGTCGGAAGATGACTGTACTCGAGTAATTGTATCAACGGGCTCGATGACAGCAACGTCTCTTCAGTGCTACCTGTTACCACAGTTCTACCAATGACGATAAACGATGACACGGTTTTTGCTGACGATGTTTTATTATACAGTTGATGTCTGGTTTGCTTCTGTCATCATTACAATTAAAGATGATGATGATAATTATCTTACTGTTCTTGATAGCGACTTCGTCGTATGATTCGTACGGACTTATCACTGTTATGATGGTGATTATTGGCTGTCGGCGTTGGCCATTTTCCCTCTCGATTTTACGTTGTCATCATCATCATCATAGATGCTAAGCATTATCGGTACGATCATTAAACCAGAATCATGATACGCTTGTGGGTGGATAGCTTCACCATTAGCTGCTTCCATTAGCATCGTTATCGTTCTATTTCGATACGTTTATTGCCATATTTTTGCTGTCGTTGCTATTCTTCCTCTCACTGCTATTGCCATTTTACTTGCGTCTGCCTAACGAGACGAATGAATTGTTATAAGTTCTATAGTTGCTCGCGTAGCTGTATAGTATATTTTATCAAGTATAAATTTTGATTTTTTCAGCTTGACGCTTACATTTGATCATGCTGTGTGTGTTACTCCCGTTCCATCTGCTATTCCGCTTCGTTTTATAATTACATTGTAAGTCATTACTCTTCATATTCTTCTTCGAACGCTATAATGTCTATTGTTTCGCTCTTCGTTAGGTCTTGTCGTCTCACCATTCGTTATCAAAATGTCTTTATAAAGACTTTTGGCTTTACTTGATTACTGAAAATTTCGGAATTAACGATGATTTAGTGGTCGATAGACAACACTACCAACGTCACACGAATGAACAGTAAAACTCACATGTTGTCTTCATATAATAAGATTCGTATTTATTATAGTCGATTGTATGCGCGCTTCTTTCCTTCCTCGGTTGATCGCTTTATCCTGAAACCTGGCTGACCCTTCTCGCTCTATTGCCCCTCAACAACTTCCACAGTCTCCAAGATGAAGAACACTTGAACGTTTTAGAATTTACGCCGAAAATAAAAAACGCAGAATATTGCATTGTAATCGTTGTTACTGATAGTGTTTTTGTTTTTGTTTTTTGCTACTGTTATTCATAATGCATTAGTATTATCTTAAGTCTATTTAGAAGACCGTTTACGAAGCCAACCGCTGACACGATATAATCGTCTTAAGCAATAGGCCGCTTTTTGTCGCGGTGTATATAGTTCGAAAATACCACTATCAATATTGGCCACGATCCTGTTTTCCGTTTGCTTTCCATAGATCTACTAATAATAATTATTACTATTATTATTATTATAATAACATTATGCACACAGTATTGAGAGTAGTGTTAAGATTATTTATTATAATATTAATGGTAATGATAGACGTTCTCCTTGTTATTAATATCAGCGATTTGTTATTACGATTATGAGAAAAGAAAACGGTATTACGTCATGGCAAAGAACCCGTTTCATTCTTAGACCGCTTGTTCAAGTGAGGAAAGGCTTGGCCTTCTCGACACTAGTGGACATGCCTTTTACCATCATACCTAGGACATACACCCCCTCTTTCCACTCACCAACCTCTCAACGACACTCGGCCAGCTTATAACGGACTTTCGTCTTCTGTTCCCATCAAACGATAGATAATTTTTTATAGTAATTTTTTTGCTGGTGAGCCCCATCGTATCCACTCACGTCTTCTGTCTCGCTTGGCTTTCGTCCCGTTCTCTTACAGTGTGAACATGTTTAATAATACATATTTAATAGACATAGAATGTAAGCTTGTTTACGGATAGCAAAGCAGAACTTTTTTGATAATGTTCAAGTTATATCGTATTGAAAAACGCCATGCTGCTACTTCTACCACGTTACGCTAAATAGATTCGTTTCGCGTCTCAGTACAGACTTAAAACATTAGACAATGTCAGATTTAACCAAAGCTCTCTACTTCTTCGTTGTTTCATCGTTCTAGCGACGCATCACTCACATAAATTGTAGGATCTACCTAGCAACCACCGACACGCTGCTATATTGTAGGTCACCGAGAACGTCCTATTGACCATTGCGTCTCTTAATTCAGCGTCGGTTTGGCGGTTACTACGGTTATTAATTCTTCCGCCGTCTCACCGAACGAGATTGTTGATGTTCACTTCTCTGACAACGTTCAACCCGCGCATGACACCCGATTACGTGTGAAGTAATGATTTATTTGAGGGCCAGGTTCTTATCTCCTGTCATCGAGGTCCAGGGCACGGCCTGATAGAATCATTCGAAGAGCCTCGCGTGCTTTGGCCATGTTGCGTAGATTTTCCTGACGATTCCGTTTTCCCGGTCCACCAAGGAACTCGGAGTAGCGCTTTCCAGGACCCCCCAGGAATTCCGAGTACCTAGAAGCGTAGAAAAAACCATTGTTTAGCGATATATATATACCGGTTTACCATATGTAACATTTACTTAACTTTAATTTAGTTAACATAAAACATAAGATTAGTAATACCTTCTATAAAATGTTTGTATTTTATTTAATTACATAATCTTACCGGCAGCCCGTCTTTTTGCGTCCCAGTATTCGAACATATTGTTATCTTTGAGAGAGTGCAAAGAATCGCGTAAGAGTTTTTAGCCGAATTTAGAATATATATATATATATATAATTTCAAATAGCGGAAACCTCTACGTACTTAACATCTGGACGAAAGCACAATTTTGACTATATATATATATATATATAATTATACTCTAGAGATGTGACTCGGTTTATCAATGTTTGCCTTCTCGTATACGTCTACCCGTTTGCAAAGGTACAGAATCACAATAAAGCACAGGAGGGATCGAGCATGCTTTTTCCTTCATATCCGAGCTAATAAATATTTGATGATCGAACTGTAAGGTCTGTCAATTGAGTTCGTCATATACGGATATTGATGGGTAGGTTTGGCATATGAAAACCGTGTAGGTATTTACCATGCTATATCAGATATGATAACTACTCTCAGGGGATCGACACCTGCAGTCACGTCGTTGACGTTGAGCAGTATAGGGAGAATCCCTATTAGGTAACAGTCAATTACAACTAATTTTAATAGTTACGATAAGTGGTGGGCAACTCATGCTCGACCTTGTACGTTTTAAATATCAGTGGGCAAAATACAAATGCACCAAACAGATACGCTTCGACCAAATCGAAGCGCTTTGCGCTATCCAACTTACTCTCCCCACGCACAAAATCGTTCAGGTGATTCGTTTGGTGCTCAAAGAAGTCGTTCTTGAAGTTGTGCCTATTTGATGATAGCCTCTATGCTAAAAAAAAAAAAACATGCAAATTATTAGTAAAGAATGTTTTACTACTCTTAATAGACATGTCCGGTAAAATGGCTAAAGTGTAGCCACCATCGAGAATTCATTTGCTCTTCTCATGGAGCGAACAGTGAACGGGACTGAATTGTCATAGCGGGTAACGGCCGTTACTTGTTGCTCTCGCTAGGCGGAGCCACTTTCATAGCATCCTGCAAACACTGTGGAGACATCAAGTTATCGAGGATCTTCTTTAGCGTGCAAAGGAAGTACCAAGATATTTGAAAGAAAAACGATATGAAAGTTACTCGGAGTCATCTCGCACGCAACTTTTAAGACGTGTTTTCTACTAACCTGTTAACATAGCTCTTCCAGCAACTGCTAAGATCATTTTATATTACATTAAGCCGATTGCCCACGCGACATATAGGAACAACTGAATTTGTTGGTTGTTACGGCTAATCTTGACGTCTGCTTTTACGTCCTTTTCGCAAAAGGATCATATTATATATATGATGATTTCATTTTCATCTGGCCGATGGCCTCTTGCGAATGGCCAGCATAGCACGGTAATATCATTGCAGGTGTATGAAGTTACTACTGTAGGAAATTAGTTGGTACACGTCTTAAATGAATGATCTTCTCTCACAACTTCACCATTCGGATGCTTTTATGGGTATAAAAATACGCTGATCAAATAAAACATTTTGGATTGAAAGTGACTAAGCTTTCTTAGAAGGTTGACTGACTGAATTTTGTTTCTACCTCTTCTGAAGCATCTCGTCTGCTGTGTCTATGGACCTTTTTCCAGGTCCACCGAGAAACTCGGAATATCTCTTCTGGATGCCCTGGCCATCACCAAACGAACCTTGGCCCCCCGCAACCTCAAACTCTGCAACATAACAGTCGGTAATTTTCGATCACTCTGTAAGGTACTCTGCCGATAAAAAATATCTGTAACGCAAAATTAATCCCTATACAATACAGAAATGTAAATTTATCGTCGAACATATGGTAGTTTCAGGAATTTCGTTGCTTGTGAGTTAGTTGATTTTAAGCCAGTGTTAATCCGAAGATTGCTTCCGTACTTTATAGACATCTCAGTCCTAATAAAAAAAACAAATTAGACAAAACGTAATTTCTACCCGAATCCAATCAACAGGGTCTTTTCGTGAACTATTGGCGCGTCTAAGATACTATTAATATCATTATACAATCAAGAAGTGATCCTAACCTATTGGAGAGGCTAGAGTATAGGTGACCGCCAGCAGAGTCATCGCAACGCCGAAAGCAAACAGAGCACGACTGAGGTCCAACATTGTTGCTTGGGAAATCCTCTTATTGACTTTTCGCGCACGCAGAACTTGATGGGTGCTGTACGACGCTACGTGAACGGAGTTCGAACGTTTAGAGTAACTCTGAAAACTAAATAACAATGATAGGTTCATTAGTAAGGGTAGTGTAGGCCAGTAAGCAAACGCTATTTTAATATGAATCAATAGTTTGCAAGATCTATTATCAACGAACACAAGCTCTATTAATAATGAGGAGTCTGGTATAAATTATTGTTATGTACGTATGTAGGCTTCCTTAGAAAGAAGACTTACCTCACCGGTGTTTGAGACATCGGTGTTTTGAAACGTAAAACAAGATTAGGGCTAGCTTCATGCGATTGAGATTGCGCCTAGTGTATTAGGTTAATTATGATAACGTATGTACAAATCGGATTATCTCATTCAGTATCTCCGTTGAAATCACCCGCAGCCTGCCTAATTCATAAAAGTAATTAACGAAACAGAATCGATCGTACGGATGAACTTCAGCTAAACTATAGCCAACGACAATAGCCCGGACAGATCCAGACGGTGAATGCTAAATTCGTTCGATGTCGCGTCGTCCAAGGTAACATGGCTAGGATTCGAACTGTAAAGTTCTCGTCTCCAGCTCGTAATCTCGTGACAGCTTCCAGAAAGAGGCATGATGCGTTCAGCTTGGGTCTGTGACTACTTAGATTGAGAGATTTAAATGTCAATGCTGTTATTTTGGTCATCGTTCGAGTAGCAGAAAGCTTTTAGGATCACAGATTTTGTCCTCTACCCAACTCGTAATTCGTTTTCGCATTTCGTCGTTAGCGGCCTGTTACCGGCTGAACCGCTGACCGACAACTGTCAAAAGGTATTTTTTTAACAAATTTTAGCTCATTGTACATTATCCTAGAAAAAAAAGAAAATCCGTCATTTTATCGGAACTTTTGCGGAACTGGATCTGGTAAGATACATGTTATAATTTACTGGTGTACTCATGGGGCCAAAAAATATCGCTTCTTCGGCATTTTCAAGGCTAGGCTTATTATGCGGTCAAGCAACAGAATCGAACACATTATGAAACTGGACATATTGGAATAAAGTGAAATCTCCAATTTCCAATGGAAAAGTAAGTGCTAACAAACTTCAACCAAGTTAGCATTATAGAACAAAATTACACCTCAGTCGAATTTGTTCGACCCTAACGTAAAAAGACGCATATCTTCGAACGTTCGCTGTATCTGAGACGGACTTTTATCAGTACTATTCCGTATTCATAATTTTTTGGCATGATAGACGTCAAAAAAACGTTGCGTTCTTACCAAACTATCCTAATTCACCAGTAGGCTGTCCCAAAAGGTTAGAGCTTCCATGTGATAAAGCATGACCCCCTCATCTGATTGTTATTGTTTGTTCCGATAAAGACAATCGCCTTTTACTGTCCCTTTCCCTTTATTAGCATTCCTTCAAAGGCCAACGTCTTTGTGGGGCGACTTGACAGTATACAACTAAAAACCTCCCCCCAGGGAATTTCATACAATAAAATAAGCTTTAGGGGAAGTGGCAAGGGACCTTAATCCTGTAAGAGTCGAAAGTTTTGTTAAACAATATATATATATTGTACAAATACAAAAAAGAATATATATAGATATATACTCCCTCAAAATCATAGCTACGATTTAAACTTCTAACGATGAGGCAATGCCATAATAATCATATTTAACCATAAACGCAACTGATGTAAAAACTGTGTTTACGATTAAACAGATCGATATCAATAGATCTCGTCATTCAGATGCGTCCTTCGTGCTAGATTGGTAACTTTAGAATTGGAATCCAAAACTGTCAACAACAATAAGAACAACAGCGGTTTGATGCGTAATATAAAATTACAATATATTCTAAGCAACGTAAGTCATTCGTTCAATGACAAGCGAACTTAGGCCCATCGTTTTGACCTACGATTCGTCTAAATTTGCATGTTGTTCCGGGGTGTCGTTGAAATAAGCCGTTTCGAGTGCTCTCCAATGTCCTAGCTCAGTTCGAGTTGTGTCTTTCATGTCAAAATTAGCTGAAACCTCTTGTTGCTGGTACGGCTTGTCGCAACTTTAATGCGGCCTTCGACTGTCGCCCTAGTCCTCGTTGAACTCACTTACTGCTTCTCTCCTTCCCGAGCAAACGACGTGTGCTCCGCTTCTTTTCAGTCTACTCCCATTTTCCGACATCAATGCGTCTGATTTTTGTCGTGTTCGCAGACATCATTTTATTATCAGACTCACCCAATTGGTCCCTAATAGCTTTCTCGTCTAATAGCTCTTTGTTTTCGTTATGCACACTGTTAACGCTGTCGAGTCCTAGGCCTTCGTTCCTTCCTCGCTTCCAGGTCGCCAAAGTAACAATGTTACACTGTTCCTTTTTCGCCTGTTTAGTTGCATGATTAATTCTTAATATTAATTGATACGGATCTCTTATTAATGTACGCCTTCCCAGCAGTGGCTTCCGGTTCACCCCAGTACCATGTCAGGATAGGAGAAGTTGCTGTAACAATGGGCCCATAGATCTGATTCTAGGCCTCCGTCGCGACTACGTTTAACCCCACTCATTCGGCGCCCTGGGCTGAATGGAACTTGAGAAAGACGAAACTAGGACAATGATGCCATAGTCACTTCTGTTTTTCCTTACATATCTATTAGCATCTCGCCTGGTTCTGAAACCAAGCAATAACTCCTCGTACGCAGCGTTGACGTATTTGTTCTTCTATAAATACACTTATATCTCGTACTTCTATAGACAAATGGTTCAATAAAATCTCCGTTAAGACAGCCTGACAAACGCTCATTCCGTTTAATAGAATGCCGTTTAAATGCCAAACCGATACTCGGGATGCCTTTGAGGCCAGCCTTTCGCACCCGCATGTGTTTCAAGGCTGAAGGCGAAGACAATTTTTCGATTTAATAAAACTAAGGTTATCCTAACCAAGTAAGACGTCAAGCGGCTGGCTGATCTTGCTGTATAGTGTTTTGTAATACATACGGAATGAAAATGTCGATGTCGGATATTGGGTACGTGTAGCCAAAGGCGCTTATAAATTAAAACAGTCATATCTTCTATATTGTAAGTACCTGTCGTAATAAAGCGGTATTTCAAATAACAAAAAAATTATAGCGATATTAGATAGCAAACCAAAACCGATTTAAAGATAATCACCTGACTGACACGGAAAGAAAAAATTCAAAATAAGCTGGGCTAATTACATATCTATATATATACAAATTTAAGGTGACAATATAACAACATGCAGATGATAAAGTATTAAAAAATTATAAGCAAAATGAGAGATCCAAACCATATTCTCTAGTTTTAGCCACTCTTTGGGGTTGTAATCGATGTCGTACGTTTTTCTTTCGAAAATCGTCTTTCCGATTCGTCACTTAGATGCGATCGATGTGTCGTTCTCTTATATATGGGCATTCTATTTTTCAAGAAGTGATTGCCACCCATTCAAAACACCGGGTTAGTGAATAAACCGAACGACTACAATACGTAAACCCGTGAACCAAAAGAAGGCTTTCCAGTAACAAAGTATTGCACCTTTGAGATATGTGACGAAATAAAAACAAAATCGATTAGCACACTCAGGGTTAATAGTGTTACTGTCTCACAAGCGTTCGTAAAAACTTCCCTGTATTGTTTTTTTTTTTTACAGTTGAGAAAACTCATATGATACTGTTTACTGAGTGCCTTTGCAAAGTGTTTTTAAAAGACAATATGAACGTCCTCACGTTAGTTTGGCTCTTGGAGAATTTTGGAACTAGGTGAAGAAGTAGGCGCTAATACGCGATCAGCGTGAAAATTTCGTGTCGCAACATTTTCGTGACCCGTTCATACAAGAACAATGTACCATGTACCATTTAAATAATCGTTTAGGAACGGAAACAAGGTATTATGCTCACTGCGTGAAGCCACGGACGGAACTGCCTGGCACGCCTTTGTCCAGTTAGACCCAAATAAAGGCTGTTGTGAAAAGATTTGCATAGACAAAAAAATGACCTGGCTGTGCTCTCTGGCTTAAGCCAGGTTTCAGGGAAAAGCGAGAAAACATGTAGAGGCTCTCGGACTGTCGAATGTCTATCGCTCCACTCAGTATATATCAAAAAAATCAATTAACCCAAGATGAAGTTAATTAAGGTTTGACAAGCTACATAACTTTGCTACTGTTTTGTTGCATAAAAATATCCGACGGCCAGTAGAAATAAGCTAGCCAACAGCAGTGCGCGGAACCCGCTTCCCAAATGTCGATAAAAGGATAGCCTGATGCTCGTACTGAACATACGGCCACATGCAGGCAAATACGCGAGGTCAGTTTTGTTGCTAGTACCAGTGACGAGATGACTAATGGCTTTGCATCTGATATAGGTAAGCTCTTCGTTCTGCACGTACATTGTGCTGTTCTATAGATAAGAATATCCACACCGCACGTATGTACCAAAACACGCATACATACAGGAGCGAACAGGGCCGAGAAAGTTTTGATAACGATTCCCTACCAATTTCTGATAGACGATGATCCACGGATGCAGATGAAGCCAAGGAGTCGATGACGTCAGAATTTCAAAAGCCTTAACTCGCACACATCAATGAGATCTTCAAATGTCCACAAGGTAGTTTTTTTTCTTGCAGATCTACCGTTGATGGTACTGCGGAGACAACTCACAAAAGCAATGTTTGCGTGATAAGTGGTTTCGTAAATAATGTGCCGTTGGCCTTTTCGTTCGTGGGTATCACCCCCAAGTGTTTTGCTTTTTCGATATCCCTAGCTTCGTCTATTCTGACCGAGCTTAAGCCTCCAACAAAGACCCTCCCCCGTGTATGTGTCGAACTGAGGAACGAGCGACCTGTAGTTGCTCGTTTGCATCTACTTCCAAAGTATCGAAGGTTTTAATATGCTATGGGGAAAATCAAGTGGTATTGCGAGAACATTTCATTGTTTTGTAAAATGTCTGAGCCGCTTGTTTCGGAAAGTTTAATGAACAGCCGGTAGCTGTAGGATCGGATGGTATCACGATCGTATTTTTCTATACGGTTAAGGTCAAGTGAACATTGGTTTTTCTCGGCAGCAGT